TTTTTTTGAAGGTAAAAACTAATATTGTTACTAAAATGTCTAGATTTTTGAAATGCAAAGCTTGTTGCTTACATTAGTGTGATTGGGGGGGGAAAGTACATATAAAAATTAACAGCAATCATGCTTATATATAATAATGTGATTAAAATGTAACGATGAATGGACAATAAAAATAAGGACAGAATGGAGCAAATGTGAGGTTGTTGTGACGAAACCCAGTCAAGACCGATATAATCATGAGTTCTGATACTGCTGACGCTCTGCAGCTCCACTTTCACAGTCTGTGTTTATTTAACCAGACGTTTTCCAGAATGCATTTGATTTCTGAGCGCAGTGTAGTGGCGTAGATTTCATGTAGTCATGGTAACAGCCTCTCAAGCACTGTTGAAACACAAAGATGAAAATTCCTAAAAGGACCTCATTTTCTTTCAAACCATCTTTGTCTTAAGTTTTTCCTATATTGCTACCATTTAAATCCTTTGAGAAGCTGTGCTGTATAGTTAGAAGATGTCCTGTGTTTAGTGACACTTACCAAAAATCAAAATAAATCATGTCTGTAATATCTAGTTGGCTCATTTTGGCTTGTGGTTTTTCTCTTCTACCACACTTTTAGCTCCATTTGTCGGTTTTCAAAATGATTAAAAACCTACTTTTCCCCAATGCAGTTAAACGTTTCATTTCATATTTCACATCTGGTTCCATCTTCGCAAGGCTTTGAGATTGTGAACTCGGACCTCTGCTTGTCTAACTTTGCAGTAAAACTGGGATTCCTTTTTACTTTTTTGGGGATAAAATAAGCGCAGTGCTGCTAATGCTTACAAGCTTTTCCCACCTTCATGATTTTTTCCCTTTTCTGTACTAAACAGCAAATCTTATTAAACGTAATTGTATGACACTGTGAAACACTGTCATCTTTTGCGGTCTCGTTCTCTTGTACAATTTCACTGCTGGAATGTAAACAAACCAACCACCTGCTGCAGGAAATGGACAATTTATCGAAAAATAATATAAAAATATACTTTTTTCCTGACACTTTATCATCACAGATGTTTTTGAGAAGATGTGAAATTGAACTTCATTTTGAATAGCAGGTGCAATATTCTACAAAACAGGCAAAAAATTTTAAAAAAAATTCACCCACCTGACCATATATATATATATATATATATATATATATATATACACACAC